CCCCCCCCAAATATACATTAGTTGTGCCCGGTTCCTGGGGCACAAGGTGGCGGGGAACGTATAAGGACAGGGGGTTTGCCACCAAGGCTGCCCCTGATGCTCATGATGCTGGGTTCCCCTTCCCCTCAAACGACTTGAAATCGGGTCCGAGCCAACCCCAAACGAGAGCTTCTCTCGAAGTGATCCGAGGGGAGTCGTGTGAAAAAGATTCGTGTGGAGTCAGTGTGTGGTGCGAGTCTGCTCAGGTAGTGGACTTTTCCTCTTGTTGCGGTCCATGTTCACATCAGTCTCATGTCCATGTGGTGTCCATGTTAAGCCCATGTTCATGCCCATGTTAGTCCCATGTTGCAAAACCACCTCGTCGAAGGGACCCCCCAAACCCCCTCAATACATACATTCCCGCGGCCCCGAAAATGTATATTCGAGGGGGGGCCTACGTTTTTCGAGTTGCGCTTCCGTTCTCTTCACAGGCTGCCGACTCCACATCTCTGTCAAAACCGCTGGCACCGCTGCCGCTCTCCTTCGAAGATGTCCACTTCAGGCGCTGTGTCCCTCTCTGCCTCTGCCTCTGCCTCTGTCTCCCCGTGCTTGTGCGAGGTACTCGGAGGCGGAGGTCTTGTGTGGCTTCTCGCTGCAGCTCGCTGCGGGTGAGCTAGGCACCCAGCGCAGAGCCAGTGGAGACTTTCGATCCCTGCAGCGTCGCGGAGCCCCAAGGACTTGTGCTCTCGTGGGCTTATCGGGATGCGGAAAGCATGTGCCCCAGTCGCTTGCCGCGCAGCACGCAGTGTACGAGTGACTCGTGTGGCTCAGGACGTCCGCCCTTCGTCTGCTCTTGCGGGATTTCGAGTCCTCCTCGGGCAAGATCACGCTAGGTCCGGCGCCCGGCGCCGAATCGGAACAGGACATCCAGAGGACTCGATCAAAGCGGTGCCCAGGTGGGCAGCTCGTGCAGATGCTGGATCTCGCTCATGTCCGGACGCTGATCTCCGCCTTCCCGGCGGTTTCTGGAGCCGTGCGTCAGGAAGAGCATCAGTCTGCGACGGCAGGTGGCGCCGCAGGCGCCAGCACTGCTGGGCACCAGCGTGGCCAGCGCCATCGCGCCAGCGCCCCAGAGCTCAAAAATGGCCCCAAAACAGCATCGGTGACAGCCGGGGTCCGTCGTGACGGACCGGACCGGACCGGCCCGGCACTTCTGAGGTTTGGAGCCAGCGGTGAGGCAAGCAAGGAGCAGATCGAGGCGACAGGACACCGCAGGACGACGCAGGACGCAGCCCACGTCTCGGCGCTCGCAGGCGGCTTCCAAAGCGGCTTCGGCCCACGACTTCGTGAAGTGCAGGACAGGCACCTCAAAAAACAACTATATCGAGGCCTTCCACGGACTGTGCCCGAGGCCGCAAGGATACGAGACGCCAGTTGGAAGAGGAGGAGAGCTCTTGTCGCTTGGCTTTGGCTCTTCGTCTGGTCTTGTGAGATGGCTTCGCGTTGCCGAGGTCCGGTGGCGAGCGACAGCGGCTGGCCCTGGCAAGTGCAGCCGGCTCGAAAGAAGAGAGGGCGAGCCGGCTCGAAGTCGCGTCGTTGCGTTCTGCATCTCTGGTGCCAGGGGCGCTGATTCGGGAAGCGCCGATCTTGCTGTTGGACGAGCCCACGTCTCGGCCCCGGCAGCAGCGAGGCAGAGGTTTAGCTCAGAAGGGGCCCGGCGGCCCCAGTGTGTCTTGGGTTGACACTTCCAAGTTTCTGAGCTTCTGCTCATGAAGAGTTTGATAGAACAGCAAACCAACTCTAACTGGAGGCAGTCATAACAGCAGCTGCCAGAAGCCTTAGGCCTGAATTATGATGGCAGTGGAAGCCCCTTGAGAGCAAAACGTGTGTGGATACCTGACTTGCCGTTGTTGCTCGGGCCGCCAGTCTTCTCAGGAAGAGCCCAACCCCACCGGAACTTCGAGCTGCATCCTTGCCTGTACAACCGTACAACTGCCCGGCTGTCATGGCAATCTCTTCCTATAAGGAATCTTTATACGCCGTTTGTTCCTGAGCGCATCGGCAGGAGGGCCTAATGCTTTTGTCCAGGACCTCATTACACATGTATACCCCAGTGAGAGAAGCCGATTCCTGTGTTGGCGATGCAGAGCCCTGAGACGCTGTGTTGCAAGAGTATAAGGAGTTCAGTGACAAGGCTAGCATCGTGCCTCGGTGTTTTCTTCTGGTCCACCGCTTTCTCTCGGCTAGCGGCGGCTTAAGATCTTTAGCACTCCCGAGGTCCGGACTGGATGCAGCGACTGCCTCGGCTCTGGCGCAGGCTCTTGCCTGTAAGGTCAGAGACGGTGAGTGGCTTCAGGAAGCTGACTCAGCTGTGTCGAAACAGAGTGAAAGGGCGAGGTGTCAAGTGCTTCATTGTGGGCACAAGCCACATCCGAAACCTGGAACCCCTGGCGCGTTGCCGAAGTCTCTTGTGGAGGCGGTCCTGTCTCCACGCCCCAGCCGGCCCACGACGCTGATCGCAACGCACAGCCTTGCCTTGATCCGGAGCGCCTGTTGCAGTCGTCTCCTCTGAACTACTCTTTACCCTTCCTGGGCTTTGGGGCTTTCGTGGGTGGTTCTCAGCAAGAGGAGCTGCGAGACTGTGGCGGTGGTTTCGGGCGGCCGCGTCGTGCAGCGCGGCCGAAGCCCCAGCCGGGGTTTTCAGCGGGGAGTGGTTCCCGTCAAGTTCCCGTCGTACTGGTGGCGGCAGAATGCCTTGCAGGCAGCTTCTCCGAGCTGATCACCGATTCCTCAGGGCACCTTGCGCAGATCATGAGGTTCCAAGTCTGAAACTGAGCTGTGCTAGACGACTTGGCGCCTGTGCCTGACAGGTCTGGGGAGCTCGAAGAGACCTAGACTAGGCCTTGGCTGTGGGCACGAAAACAAAGGCCAGTATAATGGCCAGCATGGTGATGCTCGGTGGCGACGACGCCTGCAGAGGGAGCCGATTCTCGAGATTTTTCGGGACGGTTCAAGCGTCTTCGAGCAGAAGGCACCGCCAGATCGACGAAGGGATGAACAGGATGCTCGGAGCACCAGGGCTTCGGCCAACCCGGCCCAGCTGTCCGTGCAAAAAAGATCCCTGCGCGTCCCAGCTAAGATGCCACATCCAACTGGTCTCCAACTGGTCGGAGTTTCAGGGCTTCTTTGCTGACAGCTTCTTGGTTCGTGAGCGGCCCCAGAGCCGATAGCAGAGGGAGAAAGCGGTGATCTCCAGAATACATAAAAAGGATTCTATGATCTTCTACGCAGATTGCTTTCGAGACTTGTTGTGACGCCGCGTCCTTTTTGCTGCATCTCGTGTTTTTGAAGCCGTGTTTTTTTTTATACAAATTTTGGGGGTTGGTGCGGTAGATGTCAGATGTGGCATGGGAAGCCATGGACTTCGGCCTTCAGCTTCTGCGGAAGACGGTGCGGCGTCTGCCTCTTCTTCCTCCTTGCCGTTTCTGGGTTCTTGTTAAGGGATTTACTTTAAGTTACCATAATAGGGATCTATGGTAAATAATATGGTTTCCATATTATGGGAACTTAAATTAAATCCCTTAACAAGAACCCAGGTTTGGTGCACTTTCTTCATGCTCAGCGACTCCCTTTTCAGCTTCCACCGGGGCGGCATCTGGCGGGCCTACTTCGTGGCAACGCCCGAGATGTGGGATTCCATCCATCGCCACGGGCAAAGCTCCCCGGGCGGCATCTGGAAATATGACCAGGCCAAAATGGAGGCCAACCACGCCGTCAGATACCTCTTTCGGAAGACCTACAGCACGCTGCTGGACGTCTCCTGCAACGTTGGCTTCACTTTGGCCAACTTACTTCGACGCCATCCGACAGCCAAGCACTTTGGGACCGACATTAGCAGAGTCATGGTGGAAGAGACGCAGAGGAACTGCCCCAGGCCCAACTGCCTGGCCGCACAGTTCGACCTGGGCCGTCTCCAGGACATCGGGAGCGCTCCGATGCTGCGCGAAGCTTGGCCCAAGGAGGAGCCGGTTCCGGAAGCTTTCGACGTGATTCTAGTGTCCGACGTGCTGAGCTTAGTTGGGCGCAGTTCGTTGGCAAGTTCCAAGGCCAACCCATGTCCTGAGATTCAATTCTGTGAACCAGCTATTGAGTCTGCTAATCCCACCCCCGTAATTGGCCCTTAATACATGGAAGCCTTCCTACATTGCACAATGGACAGCGGGGGAGGGGGCGAGGGATCAATGCCATTGAAGCAAAAACATCCTGAGATCCTGGGAGACAGTTGTTAGCGCCTCTTTTGCTGGATTCAATGTTTCTGGGTTATGGTTTGTCGATTTTGAGTAAATTTAGGGATTCTAGGTTCAGAGGTCATGGGTTTAGGACCTCTAAGGCGGATTTTAGGGTTTCTGTGTTTGCCGTTTCTGGGTTCGGGGCTCGGGGGTTCAGGGTTTCTAGGTTTAGTGACTTTAGTGTTTCGGAGGTTTGAGGAGTCTAGGTTCAGGGTGTAGGGTTTCTGGGTTTCTGGATTTGTCTGCAACTTTTGCTACACCCATTTACACAAGACCCTGAGCCAGCATAGGCACAAGGAGTGACAAGGAGACAGCTTGAGTATCCGATAGTAGCACACCTCCCGAGAATACATGATGAACTTTTCCTTACTGGGACCCCATAGACCACCACACTAACAAGTAATCTACTCTAGAAGGGCCTTGCTAAAGCAGATGGACCCCTACGTACATGGATGTCCGTCCACCCACATTTAAGATGGACAGGGCGGGGGGAGGGATCCATCGCATCGGGCGGGCCAAGGCTAGGGCTGGGAAGTTGCAGAAACGCAAAGATTCTCAGAGACAGTCCTACATGTTCGTGTTTCGGAAACGCACATCCACTGAAATCCTACACTTAGCTCCACTATCAGTGTCGGGGAGTCCTATATGCAGCTTTCTTTCATTTTGCGCCCCACCATGCACTAAGGGGTGTGGATGCTGGACGGTATCAATGCTTTCACGTGCGGTGTTCGAAGCCTTTCTGGCCGTCGCCGATTGCACTTCTTGCTCTTGCTTCTTTCTCGTTCCTGCGTGAGTCTCTAAGTTTCGAACCTGCTTTTCATAGCGAAATTCATATGGTTTCCCTTGTGTTTCGGACTTGAATCCTGATTGTTGGATGCTTCATCCCGAACTTGATGCTTGACCGAAGCGATTACGTGTACGGCACTAGGCAAGAGTGTTCTCGCTTTGAGCCGCCTCCCAAGAGGCCACTACGACTGTTGCAGATTTTGCTATCCGTGCCCCTGCACTAGCTTCAGTGTCCGGCGCAGGATGAAACATGCGCCACGAAGAGCCGACCCTTTCTTCGCTCGCTTCTTTTCGTCTTTCTGGTCACCGTGCCTTAGAAACATGCGCAGTGCTTCATCCGTCCTGAGTCCTTCAGGTTCTGATCTACATCAGCTGGGGCGGGATGCCGCCCTTCTTCCTGCGGTGTCACTGCTGTTGCTCTGTGTTCCGCAGCTGGGCCTTGTCCTACCAGAAGACCTTCCTCGAAAACATCGCCAGCCTGGCCAGTGACGAGGTCGTGTTCTCACAACACCAGAACAACATCGTAGTAACTACCATGATGAGAGATCTGAATGTCCACTTCGATGAGGAACGAGGTGTCTGGAGGCTTCCGGGCAAGGCGAAAAGAAATGCCACCGCTTGAGAGAAGGAAAAGGGCCCGGATTCGGGGCGAAAGCCTCCAAGCAGGAGCAGCCCATAGCAGAGCAGAGCATCCCGCACCTTGGTTGGTTTTCGATCTGCGACCCGACGGAGCTGCGCTCGCCGAGCTCTAGCGAAAATGAAGCAGCGGCCGTGTCTCAGGGGCCGAGAATCCTGCCGGGTGCCTGCAGCAGACCCTGGATCAAGAACGTGTCGCATTTCACTTGTTTAAGATATTGCCTATGCCTACCTGACCTACCTGGCATGACCAACTCAATAGGAGCACTGACACCATAGGCACTTCCCGCAATAAGCACGCACCGACATACACATGAACAGCCCGTACTTGCCCAGCTCGGCTCTTGAATGAAGCTTTCGCTGCCATGGCTGTGGCTTCTGAGCAGCTTCGTTTTTTGTGCTCGCAGCTGGAGCTGTCAAAGGTGGGAAGAGGGCCGGAAAGGATTCTGGGAAGCCTTGGAGGCAAGGAGGCCGTGGCACCCCTCAAAGCGCCATGCAGCTCAAGCTCCTCTCGACTTCCAAGACTTCCTCGACTTCGACTGCCCGCCAGCCGCGGTCACGGTCCTTGCCTTCCAGCTGCTGGCCGACCTGGAAGCCGGAGATGGCCTCAGCCAAGACAGGCTTCTTCAACTGGAGGAGCTTTTGAGGCACGCCTTCGAAACCGAAGGCCGCGCCCTGGCCGCGATGCTCTGCTCTGGCTTCCCAGTCTTCGGTGTGCTGGACTGGCTCGCGGAGGAGATCCTCGACCCGAGCGACGAAAGCCTTGCGGACTGCGTTGGCGTCCGTGCCGATCAGTTCCACAAAGCGCTGCACCACCACGTGCCTGCGCCTACGTGGCTTTCCGGGCTGCCCATGCCGCTGCCGATGGCCGCGGCCCTGGACTTCCTCCTGGCCACGCGAGGCCAAGGAGGCTGCGGCGTCGGCCGGGCCGCGGCGACCTTGGCGCTGGCCCTGGCGGAGCTGCGCCCCGTCGGCAGCGACAGCGAGACCTGTCACTTCAACCTGGGCTCGGCGGCTGAGGCGGGACCCGCTGCTCTCCCGCTCCCGCTCTTCACGCTGCTTGCGAAGGCACAAAATCTCCTCTTGGAAGAGGAAGGCGCTTTGGCCCTTCGGCTGCTGCATCGGAGGTGGTTGCCTGCCAGGCTTCTGCACGAGCTTAGCCGGCTGCTCCTGCCCGTGTCGTCCCGCGAATCGGACTCAGAGCAGAAGGGGCCCTCGGAGCCCTCGGAGGATTGTTTGATTCTGATCTACACCTTTCCGACGGAGGAGATCCGCAGGGACGTGCGGAAAGCCTTGGCCTCCTTGCAGTCGAACTACGTGGAGGCCACTGGGGGGGGGGTAGGGCCTGTAGGGCTTCAAAAAGCGCCTCTCTTCTCTTTGCGTCGAAATACAACTTTATAAAAGCCGCCCCCCCGGCCCGGCCCGGGGCCCGGGCATGTCCGGGGCCCCCGGCACCTCCCTCTGCGAGGCCTCCTTGGGCGAGTCCAGGCGGCCTCGGCTGGTGGTCTTCGTCGACGCCGACAGCGAGCGCTTGCTGAAAGCGGATCTGGTGCCCTTCACGAGCTTGGAGATCCAAGCGGCTGTGATCCCAGAGACGGAGCTTCGCCGCCCCATGCCCTCCTACAGCTGCCAGCAAGGGGAGTTCTGCGTTTCTGGAGATGCGGAGATGGAACTTCAGGTGGACGCCCACCGCGCCAAGGTGAACGGGACGCAGTACTGGTCTCCCACCTATCTGCGTATCTCGCGCTACACGGCGGGGCCCCTCTTCCTCCATCCCGCCCTGGACTCTTGCCGGCATTTCCTCAAGATCGACACCGACTTCTTCTTTACCCAAGCTCTGGAGAGGGACCCTTTCCGCCACATGAAGGATTCGGGCCTCCGCCTGGGCTACTGGCAGATCCACGTCCAAGGCCAGAGACAGGAAAACTACATGCAAGCCTCCCTGGCTTTCTTGGAGGACACCCTTAATTACTCGCAGTCAAAAAGTCTTGTCTTGGGGAGTTTCTTTCGTCAAAAGAGCACCTTTGCTTTGAGGAGCAGCAGCTGCGCATCCGCAACCGGCGCTTCGACGCGCGCGGCCGCTTCGAGGAGAAGGCGAAGAAGCTGCAGATCTCCTTGGAGTCGGTCCCGGTGGCGCTGCAGGCGTCCACCGTGCTGTTCCTCGGAGCGGTCGTGGTGGGAAGTCGGGGTGTTTTCCTTTTTTTTTTGGGACCATTGTCGCGGGATTTGTTTAGGATCCAAAGCGGTGCCGAAGAGGAGAGCCGAGGTACGGCTGCCTCTTCGGCGGTGACACGCGCTTCTTCCGGGAGCCGCTGTACCAGTCTTTCTTCGAGTACATGGATCGCCAGCGAGGCACGTCCGGTCTGCACCGGCGAGGGCGACAGTAGACATGCACGTTTGCAGCTTTCTCTCGCTCTCCATATGTATTTGGTCTCTGTTTCTCTGTCTCTCTGATTCTCTGTGTATATACGTATATGTGTGTATACAGGCGCACAGATACCAATCAATCAATCGATCAATCAACGAAGCAACGAAGCAATGAATCAACCAATAAAGCACTGAAGCAATGCGCCGATCAATGAAGCGAGCAATGATTCAACCAATCAAGCAACAAATCAATCACCAATGAATCAATACATCAATCAAGCAATGAAGGAATCAAGCAATCAACCAATGAATCAACCAATCAGTGAATCAATGAGTTAATGAATCAAAGTAATTAAGGAACCAATGAATCAGCCAACCACCCACCGACCAACCCACCAACCGGACAGACCCACCCACCGACCAACCGACCGACCAACGGACCGACCAATCGTGTGAGTCAGTCAGTCAGTGAGTCAACGAATTAACCAACTCATCTTCCAATCTCTCAATCTATCCATGTATCTCTCAATCTATCCACCCATCTATTTCTCTGCCTGCCTGCCTGTCGGTCTGTCTTGTCTGCATATCTATCTGTCTACACGGTCGCCCTTTGCAGGCTTCGAGCGTTATGGTTGGAGCAATCAGCCCGCCGGCTGCAAAAGTCTCCTCCACACCTTTCCGCCTCCGCGTGTGCCCAGGTTCTTCCTGGGCACCGCAGCGGCGGCCTTCCTGGCGCCCTGTGAGGTGCGGGAGCTCAGAGAGAAGAGACAGACATGCCGGCGCAGCCGCAGCCGCAGTGCTTTTTTTTTTTTCTTTCTGAGGTGAGCCGGCTTTATGTAAGCGGCGTGCACCAGGACGCCGCATGTTGCGTGCTTCGAGCCTTCCACTCCCCCCCAGCCCGCCTTGACGAAGGGCAGCTTGGATCTACTCGTACGAGCGTAATTTCTCTTTGACTCGAAGAAGCAAACATTAAAAGGAGTTGGGTCGGGAGGTTCTGCCGGCCCAGGCCAAGCTCCGCGAACTGAACCACCCCTGATCGTATTGCTGGGAGTGCCCTGAATTTGGAGAGGGGCCACCCCCCACGGCCTGTATGTGCAGGAGTCCTCCATCAACGTGTCTGGCAGCAGCTTGGATGAGTGTTCAAGTCAAGCTTCGGGAGGAAGTTTGCAATTCCTTTGCTGCTCTTGAGGTGAACTGACCGAGTTCCTGCTGGGTGCAAGTCACAGCTTCATGCGGTGAGCGAAAATCTGGGAAAGTCCGCCGCTTTACCGATGTTCTTGAGTCAGCTCCTACTTCCAGAAATGTCGTGGTATACATCGCGTTAGGCTCAGAAGGCTTCGATTCTGTAGAGACTCCCCCTGGGGCGTAGTGAGATGGCCTTCCGCTCGGCTACAGCCCCAGCTGGGATGGGACCTCTCTCCTGACCTTCATCTTTCCGTCCTGTCTCGGGTCTCCGTGAGGCGCGGCCACTCCGATTCCGCCTGACCAGGCTCTTGCGCGCAGGCCCGCGAGAGATGCCAGAGAAAGTCTGCTTGCCTTCTTGCGGAGAAAGTCTCTAATTATGTTGGCTGCTCAGGAGGTGCAGAAGACGCAAAGCCCCGATGGACACTGCCCGAGGCCTCGCACGAAGTGCACATCAAGTCCGGTATACGCTTCTTTGCACCAGGCAGACTACCACAAATATACGTACCAGCCATCCATCCCGGACAAGCACTTCAACATCGGCCATTGGAACTATGACCGGACCCGAGACCCGAGAGCTCCATGCCAAATGTGTCGCCATGCGCCCTTTCCTCACCGAGGCCCCCATCACCATGTGGCTGCGTGCTCGGCGCCCCGCCATGGAGAAGGTGCTGGGTGACGCGCGCGGCCGAGACTCCTGGCCAAGAAGGGTGGAAGGGGAAGCACAAACCTGTGGCAAAGGTGTACACCACCCTCACCAGCACGGGAAGCGCCCTCTGGTCGCCCATCTACGCCGCTGGCTCGCAGCAACAAATATCTGTCCAACAGCAGCAGGCCCTGTTCGAAAATCGTCACCCTCAGGGCAACATCCACGCCAACCTCCCTGGCTTCGGCTACAAGTTCCTTGGGCTGGTAGGCAGGGGGGCTTGGCTTGTCGCTGCTTTGCCCATCTTTATTCAGTTAGCAATGACCATTTCCATTTTCTAACCATGCACACCCCCTAGCACCCAAACCAGAACAACCTGTGCCTCACCCCTTAACCCACCGAATGACCCATAGGAAAGACCCACCTGAAGACCCAAAACCATAACCCATAACAACCTTATACCTCAACCCTAAACCCACCGAAAAACCCAACCCCAATACCCATACCATGGAACCACCAGAAGAACCATACACCGGTGCAAGCGGTGGGACTTGGGTTGGCCTAGTGTGGTGTTCTAGCGGGGTTTGCAGTGGTCCTACTGAATGGGATTCTTCTAAGTTGGGTTCTTCAAGGAGTTGTGGTGGGTCTGATTCGACAGTGGTAATGGTATTGAGAGGTCTTAAGCATAATGTGGTTATGACCCTTAAGATGCTACAGGTCATAACTTCATTGTTGTTACTACCTTGTCCCCAAACCTTATTCCTATTATAGATATTATTTTAGAATACCATTCCCATTCTCAAGGGTTAAGGATTTCGGGTTGGGAATACGGGTTTTTCTATGGGGGTATTGGTGTATGGGGTTAGAGTGTTTTTTTTCTATGGGCATCTTCCTATGGGTCTTTTGGTGGTTCCATCCTAGAGGTCTTGATGTGGGTCTTTCGGTGAGTTGTGCTAGGGGGTGGTGCATGGTTAGAAAACGGAAATGGTATTTGCCAACTTATTCTGCGGCTGCATGTGTGTGGCAGAGAGACAGGCGCTCTGATCGGCTACAACCTGGCCGTCCCTCCCCCAGCAACTCTCTTGCGTGTTTTTCTAAAGCCCTACGCCCTACGCCTTTGATTTTGATCTGGCCGTTCTGGCTTCTATCAATGCACTTGCGTCTCAGGTCATGTACGTGACTTCCCGTACTGAGGCCTGAGAGCTTCGGGATTCGGATCTCAAGGGGAGAGTTGCGTTTTGTTTGTGATACTCTTTTTTTGTTCTTCCGGTGAGGCGTGGATGTTCCTGGAGAAGATGCGTCTTTATGCCCTGGGCGACGAGCGACTCGGCCGTTCAGAGTTCGGGCACTGGCCAGGTCAGGCTTGCAAAGATTCGCGGGGCTCAGGCTAGTCAAGAAGGGCTTCTTCATGTCCGACGCAGAGGCACCGGATTCCCTAAAAGTTTGCGCTGCAATCTCGAACTCAGGGAAAACCGAAAAATGCCTGCAACCTTCTGCAAACTTGCGGTGTCGGTCTCCAGGAGGCGCACTCGCGCCAGCACAAGTACGACCACGAGGCCCCGGGAGCTTGTAGGCTGAAGGGCTCCACTCCGACTCTGCAGCTCTGCAGCGTGGGGCACGGTCTGGTTGCTGCATCGGGAGAGCGAAGCTTCGCATACGAGAAGAGGGATCCGAAGCTTCGCATTGCCCGCGCTGAGCCTGGGGCCCTCTGGGCATCAAAGCAGGTGGAACGGCTGAACCATCTCTGGGAGGAGGTGGAAGAGGGCAAGCGGCAGGCCTGCCCCTTTTGCAAGTCCTTCTGTCTCTGGAAGCAGGCCATCTCCGACGCCACGCAAGCCAGATCCTTTGACAGGCGGAACACGATGCGCAGGCAAGCTTGACCCCATCATCTGAGCTCTTTGCAGGCTGTGTGAGCATTTGGCCGTGGATGCTGAGAAGCTTCCGGTGACCGAGATCCCCAAGCCGCTCGGCGAGTCTCCGAAAGTGTTGGGAGCGGGTCCGGGTACTGTAGCGGTCCTAGCAAGAGCCTCCGAGGCCGATCTCCTGGCGATTCAGCCTGATGCCGTCCGGGGCCCAAGAAGATATTGGGGTCCCCCCCAATTTCCCCCCCCCCCCGCCCCCGCTCCCTCCCTTTCTCGAAACCTGTGGCAGAGGTATGGACGGGATGACCCCGATGCCAAGACCTTCAGCTTTGCGCCCGTGGACTCACCGGCAGCCCGTAGCCTCGGGGAGGGGACAGGAGGAGAGAGGAGAGAGAGGAGAGAGAGGAGGAGAGACTCTGACCCCACGACTCGAGGCCAGCAATTATTTCCTGCTGGACATTGGGAATTCCGGGGACTACATCGACCGCCAGGCCAACTCCACTTGCACAGCCTCTGCTGCTCCTCCTCCTCCTCCTCCTCTTTTATGTGTGGCAGGACAACAAGCCGAATCCCATCCGCAAGGGCCGTCACATGTACACGGCTGCATACATGCCCCCGACGAAGTGAGCGGTCAGGTTTTTGCCTTTGGGTAGAGACCTGGCTGAGGTGCGCGAGCGATTTTTTCATGGTTTAAGCACCGGAAGTCAGGAGCCCAAGCACCCCAGCCTAAGAGGTTTGCAGGGAGTCAGAGCAACAAAAAGACAAGACTTTCCGTTTTGGGCTCCAGAATGAGTACGCCTGCAGAGCGAGGTACGGGATATAGCGTAGTGGTTGCAATGCTGACATATATTGAAATCGCTGAGTGGAGAAACAAGCTCCTGCGGTGCCGCGAGCCTGCCAGGCACCCCGCAGCATGTCTCAGTTGTGCATTCGACAGTGGCTCTGGCTCGCTCAGACATGTCAAGATCATGGTAAGCCTTGTCCAAGCTTGACAACTCGAATCTAATTGCGAAGAAGATCTGCAGGTTTTAGTCGAAGTGAAGAGAGATTTTGCCGAACACGTCGCGACGTGCATGCTGTCTCAAGGCCAGGCCTGAATGCAGCGCTGTTGGGCGTGGGCTTAAACATGCTTGCATCGCCCGAGCCTGGAAGAAGAGGGGGGGAGGGGCCGAAGCCTCAGCCAGCACTGCTTCAAGTGCAGCGGGCTTGGGACAGGTGCCCGCACGGTTGGTGCTCCGCTCGATGCAGCAGGCGTGCCCACGCCCTCGCCTTGGCTCTTGACGAGGCCCAGACTTGGCGCGAGCCCTCAGCCGCTCAGCCAGGCTGCGCCTGGATGCGCCGAGCCGACGACACGGCCACGCCAGGGCCCTGCGGTGCCATCTCAGCTCAGCGTCAAAGTGGGGGCGCGAGGTGTTCTATCCTCGTGAGGACGCCTCTGTTCGAGCCTTGACTCGAGACAGGAGATTTTTATGCTCTTTCGGGGAAGTTTCATTCAGGCCAGGCCACCGTCGAGGAGCCTGTCCCACGCGGTGCTGAGAGGACCCTCCTTCTTGCGGAAGTTGGATAAAAGTGTGTGCCCCGGCGACCACCTAAAGGAGGAACCTCAAGCGTCCCAGCGCATCCGTTGGCTTCTTCTGCCTCCTCACCAGGCTCGGCTGGGGGAGGAAAGTCTCCGCCTCCGCTTCTTGCCGTGATTTCCGTCCGGGGCACGAGGGATGAAGGGGAGGAAAGAGCCGGCAGGCGAGGTCTGAGTCTGATATCGCAAGTCGCGAACGGAAGAGACTTGGATGTGGCGGGTACTCGTAGGTTTCGTAGACTTCGTTGGCGTGTTTCCGAAGCCTCCTGCCTGCTCAGACCTTGGTGGCTTACGATGCCGGTTAGGCCAGGCTAAGGGACGGCCCTGGCGAGATGCATCGCGCAAAGATCGCCAGGGGAAGAGATCAAAGAGATCCCTCCTCGGTTTCCTTCGCCGGGTCTGAGCCGGCTTGTGTTGTGTCACTGGCTTCAGGGTCTCAAAAACAAGCTCCCTTAAGAAGAGCCAGGCTACAGAGTTTGCCCACCCTACGCCAGTGACCTTCACGGTGGTGCTTGGACCTAAGATGGGGATTTGCACGGTGCACCCCTGCGTGTGTGAACCGCGCCCGAATCTCAACCAGGCCCTGTTGAAGCCGCTCTCAGGACGGCCGTGGGGCGCTCCGGAGCTCGGAGAGAGCTCCTGCAGCCCAGTCGACCGCGCCCTGGGAGGGTCCTGCGAGGCAGGGCCGAGCCTCGAGCCCCGAAGTAAAAGTCCCATAAAGTCCCGGCATCGCTCAGCCCAGCTTGGCTGTTTGCCCAAGTGTCCCAAGACGGGTCGCAGGTCGACGCAGCCGGCGGTGGCGCCGGCCACGTGGCACTTCCGGCCGCCCTCGGCGCGCGAGCGCGAGCGCGACCGCTCCGTGGGCTCGGCACGAGGCGCGCGAAGCCTCGAGCGAGGGCCCCCCGGCTTGGGGTTTCGCGCGAGTTTCGGCCCCGATGCAGGTTCGGAGCGCTCGACGTCCTGGCCTCGAGCCTCGCGGGCCTCGCGGGCCTCGCGCGTGACGCAAGGACTTGGACTTTCCTGACAGAGGTCCGCTTCGGCGTGCCTCGACACGAGAGGCTTGAGACCGCGGACTTCGAGACAGGAGGAGGCGGGGAGTCGGGGAGACGGAGAGAGGATGCTAGATGGCGAAGGCACGAACCGAGTCCTCCTCTGAAAGGCACGTGAGGCGATCTTGCGTGCCGCCTCGCCTCTGCGACCAACAGGCGCCGGTAGCCCCAACCCTCCGCCGTTAAAGGCCTCGCACTGCTCCCAGAGCAGAGTCAGACACATGTGGGGGGTTTGGGAGTAATTCATGGCGAGGTCTGGGGTTGCGCCCCTAAGCGTCCGAGGTTGCGCCGCCGGACGGCGCCTCAGCGACGGCGACTTGGACCTGCTCGAGGTGCGCTGGCAGGCAACAAGATCTCGCAGGCAGGGCAGGGCGCTTTGGCCTTGGCGCCTCGGCTGCGACTCGAAACGGATCCAGCAAGGCTCGCGCCGAGCTCCACGCCAGGAGTCGGGATGGATCTCTTTGCAATACTCGGAGACTTGCGTGGACGTGGGCATTGCTTCATTTGCTCTCAGCTCTGCTTTCCCTTTGCGTCTCCGGTTGAACGAGCGCCGTACGCCATGGCCCTGAACGTGATCACGGAAAGCCGTCTCTACGCACCTTGGCATCATCGCTCTTCGCTGTGCTTGCCCAGCTCCGCCCCTGCCTGTGGCGAGGCCAGCGAGCCCGATCCTCGCTGGTTTGGAAATCCGCAGAACCCGCCAGACACCACAGCTGAGGCGTCCTCGTAGAAGCTGTATACATGATGCACTGTCGCCCACTGACCTGATATGGCAACTTCTGCCCTTGGTAAGTGTGGTGTGGGCGCGGCGGTGTGTCTCTCTGTCGGTCTCGGTGTGTCTCTCTGTGTGTGTGTGTGTGTGTCTATAGAATCAGCTAAGGCAATTGGTCAGGACCTGCAGATTGCATAATGAAGCAGGGGGCACAGGAGGTTTACTTAGGTATTTGCATCATCTACAAGATCTTCATCGGAAAACGGTCAGATTACAGCGACTCGATGTCGACTGAATATCTCCGTGCGTGTCTGTGCGTGTGTGTGTGTGTGTGTGTTTGTGTGGGTTCGGGCTTGCATTTACTCTTCGCTTGCCGTGTTGGCATAGGAGTTCTGTCTTCATCCTCCATTCCCCATTGCCCTCTCCTCCCTGTGTGGACATTTTCGGCAGTTACGAGTCACGAGAATCGAAACAGTAGACCACCGATCCCTGTGACTGTTGGCGCCGTTGAGACATGACGGATATACTAAGATCCGGAAGCAGCCACAGTTATCGCCGTGATACCAGGATCCCAAACCGACCAGAGTTGCACGGATCCCAGGGTCTCGGGTTATTTTCGAGGCCCAACATTTGCGACACAGATTCCAAACTCTCCTCCATGGGAGCGGGTGGGGGATGCCCACTGATGCGGCGACGCATAGATGAGACTCTTTTGCTTCTTCGTTTAGATTCGTGTGGACTCCAGGGCTGGACGAACCAGAACTGGCTGAAGCCGCTTGGGACCGCAAGTAGCTCCCTTGGGCCGTCCTCTTCAGAGGACCCCGAGAAGTTTTGTCTGTGAAGGTCGAGGTTCCACTTCAGCTTCGCGGAGTACCATGAAGGGCCCAGCAACTTTGGTGTCCTGCGTGTGATGAGCCTTTGAACTTCAAGCTTTTAGCCTTCTTATGCCTTCTTGCTTCGGTCCTTTTCCGTCAACTTCATTTCTTGCCGGTCAACACCGCGTCGCAATCCCAGGAACGATGACCTTGTGCAGGGGGAGCGGGGATTTGGTGAGCACCCGCCCCTGGCCTGGCATTTTGAAGGGGTAGAAGGCATACGCCAGAAGGGGGTGGGAGAAGGCATCCTCCTCGTATGAGGCACCGTGACATGGAAATCATGACCTTCATCGTGGACGGAGAGCTTACACACAAGGAGCCTTTAAGGAGGGCCCTCTGTGAAAGATGCCATAAGCCGTAGTCCAATGGCTCATAGGACTCCAAGGGCAACGAGGAGACGTTAGGCCGTGGCGCCATCCAGTTCATGACCGCGGGGACTGGATTCTGGGTTCTAAAGTTCGGCATGGAGCTTACTTCGTGCTGCGGTGCCAGAACACGAAAGTTTTTGATTGACTACAGAATTGAGAGCCTAGGAATCTATCACTCCGAGCATAACCTGGCCAAGAAGCCGTTGCGGTTCATTCAGTGCTGGGTCGCTGCTGGCTCGCACAGTCAGCATCCTGAAGGCCTTGGGAATTTACGCAGACTAGGGGCTGCTCAGGCTGTCTCTCCCTTCCCCCTTCAGCCTTTGCCGTCGCTTTCCGCCGCTTTCACTTAGGTGCCCCGGAAGCGTGGCCTGAAGCCGAACTACGGCTCGAGTTTGGGCGGCCCGGAGGCGGCCGCCGATCGCAGGGATAAGTGGGCGCACATGGTGCCCTTGCGCAGATATGGGGAGGCTAGTGAGAGAGAGAGAGAGAGAGCTTCGGCTGCTGAGCCACCGAGGTCTCTGACGAAATGTCTTCTGTGGCGACACAGATCAAGATCCACCAAGACTGCAACGTCTTTTGCACGGAGCTCTCCCCCGGCAAGACCTCCCCGGTCCTCAATATTGCCGCAGGCCGGCAGGCCTACATGCTCTGCGTGGAGGGAGAGATTCGGTGTGAGAAGCAGAGCCTTCATCGCCACGACGCAGCCGAAGTAAAGGGGCCGCTGGAGCTGGAGCTCAGCGCAGGGCCCTCGGGGGCTTTGGTGCTCCTGTTCGAGATGGCGCAGACACGGGACTCCCGAGCAGGCTTTTGAATTAGCTGGTCCGGTCCTGGAAACATGATGGGCTACTAGGGCCTAGCGTGCAGTTTTGTGTGGCGGCCCTGGAGACATGATGGGCACTGCCGTTTTCAGACCTGTACAGATTCCTGCATGCTGAGACAAAAGCCGGCTCAAGCCAGGCCGCGGCCGCGTTGTCGGCCCGCATTGCCGGTGTTCTGGGCCCCCCCGTCTCCCGTCTCGCGTCAGGAGGGCCGAGCTCCGCGCAGCGCTTCCTGAGAGCTGCAAGGACCGGGCGAGGGAAGCGGGAGAGGGCCGCAGAGCACGGAAAGAGCACAGAGTCACCTGAGGTCAGCCTTCGAGAAGCAGAACAAACGGATGCCCAAAGTAGTGCGAGAAATGGGAGTGTCGCAGCACTTCTTTCGGCAAGACTTCATATCGGAGACACGATGCCCTGCTACCTGCCTTCTGTTTCTCATGCTGCGAGCACGTCATCGTCTGTGCACCCTTGCTCAAGCACCGACCTGCAGCAAGACCCCCATCCTGCGTTGCACACAGGAGCCATGCTAGCCGTGATAATGCTCAGTTTATTCGGACTGCTGCCAGTTTCGTGGGCATGCAGCTACGTGGCGATTCCATATCCAGAGAGCGGGAAAACATCCGATCTTATCCCACGAACCATGGATCTTTGGGACTTGTACAACAGAACGAAGTGCAGCATTGAAGCATTCCCAAGAGGAGCTGGGAACAAGTATGGCTTTGTTGCACCCCTGTCTTACGAGCCCCACAAATGCGCTTTCGTTTATCCTTGATGGTCCAGTCGCTGGAGATCCGCGAGCCGGGCCCAGCGACGGCCCTGAATTCACGGACTATGCTGTCCGGAAAGCTCCGAAGGAGAAGGTCCACATGGTCCGAGGCTATCGCAACAGGCCGTGGCGGAAAATTGACCTCAAGAGGCTGGACTTCTCCAAGGGCACCACGTGGCCGCTTGAAGACGGGTCGCTGGGGATCGTGGACATCACCGATGCAGGCGACAGTGCTTCGAAAACAAAGAGGGAGCTGTAAGCTGCGAAGACCGGTCAGCTGGATAGCTGTGCAACGCCGAAGTCGCGTGTCAACATCTTTGCTTCTACTAGTGCAGAGAGCATCCGACGCCTCTGGATGGCCTATCAAGATTTTAAGGGCAAGTGCATTATTCTCGCCAAATGTCTTTGCATGGGATTGATCGTCTGTTGCGAAAGACTGACTAGGCTTAGACGCCCCACGATCGTTTCTCCGCAGTGTCTGAGAAAAATGCACGAACCTTGTCTTCGCATGTGCCTTGCCCATGCCTACCCAGCAAGAGATAGCAAGAGGCCGTTGTGAAGTGTGATGTTGCGCAGCGTCATCGTGTGTGCCCTCTGCTTTTCCCGTCGTCGTTCAGCGGCTCAATTTCGGCACGGCCTTTCATGAGGTTGCCCTTCTGACCTCCTGAGGCCCTCTGTTCCAAAAGGCGACACCTGAATCTCTCTCAGCACTCTCCGTGCCAGGCTGTATGGCCGCGGCAGGGAGCTGAGTAGAAACAGATCTCCAGTGTCTGCCATGAGTGGGATGTGCGCTGAGGCCGTTGCAAGCTACCCGGGGCCACCGCGCCAGGTGCGGCCGTCACAGTGACAGCACTAGGGCAGCAGAGTGCTCGGAGGAGGCCCTGCTTGGAACGCCCCCATCTTCCCACAGGCCGAACAGATGTGCTACAGTTACAGTACCTGTCTCGCCTTCTCCCTCTCTCTCGGCTCTCCTGGCTCTCCTGGCTCTCCGGCCTTGGAGGCAGACGCAGCCGCTCCCAGGCCCAGAGCGACGCAGAGAGCGGAAGGAAGGAGAGAGGGAGCGCCCCTTCCGTCGCAGGCCATGGCCATGGCCAGAGCCCAGGACTCCGCGCGTCTCAGCTCGCGCCCACACAACTGCCTTTTTCATTTTCTCTCAGCACTCTCTCTCCCTCTCTCTCCCTCTTCTTTTCTGGTGGAGGACATCCGCTCTTTCAGAGGGGCCGGCGAGTGGCTCTGGCCCTCAGCACCGTGAGCGGCGGCGTTGGCTGTGGTCTGCCCCCCCCCCAGCGCCGAGGCCACGCCGGTCAGCGCCCTGGCACGGCTCTGGGGCGACGAGCCACGCCGCGAGGCATCCCTTCCCCCTTCGCCTCAGAAACACAGCGCTTAGCGCTGGACTCTTGGTCACGACAAGGAGCCGCAGCCTCTCAGCATCTCTGCCTCTGCGGCGGCACCCAGTGGCGGCCCAAACCTGGCAGCTCGAGCCCGGGCCGCGACACAGGCGAGAGAACGAGTCTAATAGGGATTCCGGCGCGCTTGTGCCTCTCGGTGAAGCTTCGCCCCAAAGGCATCCTGGAATCGTCGTTCGCTGTCTCCTCAGAGGTGGGTGGAATGTAAAGAGAAGCTGGCAGATCTACTGGTAGGGCATGGTAGCACGCGCAAGCGCGAGCAGGCCAACCGTTCCGCAGCCGCAGCCGCAGCCGGTCTTCATAAGGACGGGCAAGCCACAGAAAGGTAGATATCACCAGCGTTTCGCAAGAAGAGCCGACTCGGGTTTGAGATCCGGGAGGGTGTTTCCGGGTTATTGTCGCATCGTGTCGAAGGGCACATCGTTGCACGTGCATCAGTGCAGCCTCCTTTCTTTGCTTCCGCTTCCGGCCAGGGCGCAGGACACCGCCCCGGCCCCGGCCACGGACACTCCGCGGACCCGGTTTCAGGAGACTTCTCTGCACGCAGAGAGCCTCCTGCACACGGCTCTGGGACAGGAGTCGCCGTCACCGCGCTCGCGGCATCGGAGCATCAGGCCGGGTCAGCCCGGGGCATGGGCATGGCGAGCATGGGCTGGGCATGGGCAGGCCGTCCATGACTCCCTCACGCATGGGATTCCCGGATCCCACGAGCCGCTGCCCCAAAAAACTTACTCAGGTTCGATGTTCGGAGGGAGTGCTTTGCGACAGGTCCTCCAGCCGACTACCGCGCGGTCCGGAATCCCAAGCTGATTCGATCCCAGCCACGGGCGCGGCTGGCTCGGCTCGGCTTGCAATTGCAGAGGCTCGGCAGACCTCCATGTCTCCACCTCGAGCTGCCTCGCGGCAGACTGTCGTCCCTCCTCCCAAGGAGGACGAGGCGCGAAGCCATGTGAAGCTCCAGACAGTCATGAGAACAGGTTCAGCTACTCTAGCGCTCTCGCAGGACCTCATCCACCAGCATGTCTTGTACATCCTCAAGAAGAATCCGGACGTGTCCAAGCTCGTTCCCCGGCTGGCCCGAGCCGGCCTTGAGCCAGGGTCCATCTCTTGCAGGTCACGCAAGGTGCAGCAGGTCACGCCAGGGGTGTACCTCCTGGACGGCCACGAGGCCCCCGGAAATCCGTCGGAACAACCGCGGGAAGTGTCATTTGGTGTCGGGTGAAAGGTGAACATCGAGTGGAGGCACTCCCGAGAGCCCGGAAGGTCCTGGCCGCTGCCAGCGTCACAGCCGTCCCGGTCCCACTCTAGCTGTGTCGAAGGCGAGGCTGTCCGGTAGTGGTGGACGGCCCCATGCCGGCCTCTTACACAAGGAGTTACGAGGCAGATGTTGGCTGTTCCTTGCCTTGAGGCGACAGCCGCTCATCGACTACCTGAGATTCAGTGAGGCGCGTTTCAACATCGGTCGGGAGGGGTCTCCCTCGGAAGACCTCCGAAAGCTGAGAGCCGTTTTTTTCTCTCAAGGAGAACAAGGAATACGACACGGAGACGGTGGCTTGCACCACGTCCTTGCACCAGGAGGGCCAATCCTGTCGCTTTGTTTGTCCTTCCGCATGTCCACGTGCAGGTTCCGAAAGACAAGCGGATGACCTTCGACGACAGGCACAAGCAGTGCGCAGAATGCGAGTCAGAGAGTGGCGACAGCGCCTCGGATGTTTCCGGTCCTTCCGAGGTACAGCCGGCTCGAAGCCATGAAGGTGGCAAAGGCGGTTTTTTCCACAGGGCAGGCAGCAAGCAGTCGCGCAAAAACATGCGTGCCTCCTGGAAGGAGCAGGCCTGCATCCGGGAGCAAGCTGCGGATTGCCTGCTGGACGGCAAGCAGGTCCCAAAGCTAAAGAGCACATACTATAATAGTTAATGGCATTCTACAGTGACTCAACAGACTCTGCATTGCTTTTTCTTGGGAGCATTCTTGCTGGAGCCTGCCCAGGTGCCTGACGACCTCGTCAGGCGCTACAATAAGGCAGCCCGAGCTTCCACAGAGGGGGGCCTGGCTTTTGCTCCCTGAAACGGAGAAGTCGCCCCCTGCCAGGCATTGCGATCCAAGATTCGTCGGGCGCCGAGAACGGAGGCTGAGGAAGGCCGAGCTCTGCTTGAACTCTGCAGGCTCACGGGAGAAGGACGGCTCAGGTGCAGAGACGCCCGGCCTCAGACCGTCTCTCTTGCCTCGCTGTTTCTCACGCTGTGTCACGCTGGGCTTGGAGAGATCTGCCCAGGCGACGGGAGACCCTGGTGCCATCTCCGGCCGGGACACCGACGCCAGCACCAGCAACGCCACAACCGGCAACGCCGGTGGCGCCAGCCGCGCCAGCAGCACCAGCACCGAAAGCGCCGGTAGGGGGCCCAAGTGGGCAGCTTGGATGTGGCATCCATAGGGCACGCCCATCCAGGGGTGGGGCAGCCGGTGGGCCGTGAAAGCTGGCCCGAGGTTCCCAGAATAAACGCAGCAGCCGCAACCACCGTAGCTTCTGTGTCGCAGATGGAAAAAGCCAAGCGAGCCCAGAAGCGTCAGCAACCTGAAGCGGAGCGGAGTGTTCTGGTTGCTTCGGTGCGATGGCTCCGGACTTCCAAGACGATGACCTGCCAGCGCGAGGAAGGCCGGGTGTGGCGGAAAGGTGCCGACAGCTTTCAGTCGTATGAGTTCACGATGAAGGGACGCCTTCACCGCCATCTATGTTGTCAGTGCCTAAGCCTGTTGAAGAAAGGGGCACCATATTGCAGTGTTCCTCCTATCCAGGATGTGAGCATTCCGGCCTTGCATGAACGATCCAGGAGAGTGGCAAGAACCCCCGAGCCCCCGACCCCCTGCTCTAGCCGCTCTTCCTAGCAGGATCAGCTTGAAGATGCGGCCTTCCACGGCCACGCAAGTCTTCAACGCTTTGGCCAAGATGGAAGAGACCCTTTTCGAAGAGTTGGGCTCCGAAGTGGCCTCGGTCGAGAGCTTGAGCCTCAAAGTGCGCTGTCCCCTGGGGCCCCCTCGTTCGGTGCTGCCATGGACAGTGCAGGTGCCGATTTCAAGCGGGAGTTCTGCACCATGCGAGAGAAGGCCGTGGCGAGCATGAGCGAGTGGCAGAGCTTCGTGGAGGACTGGAAGGGAAGTCTGCTCACGAGGCCGGGATCCGGGGCGCCAGGCCCTACAGTAGCACCAAACCGAAATGCGCAAGCCACATCTGGAGTCTGGAGTGTCTGAACAGTCAGCCCCACCTGCAGACGTCGCCCCCCGGTTCGGGGCCCCTTCTTGTCCGGAGGCTCCAGGACGTCGGCCACGAGCTTGACAGAGCGCGAGCGCAGGAGGCGACCTTGAAGCACCGGCTCCAGCAGAAGGACTCCCGCAAACATCGCTCTGCGACGCGAATCCTCCCTGCATCCAGGAGGCGCAGGTGACAACACTTCTCAGAGAGAAGCGCATGCTGAAGCGCCAACTCAAGACGGACGGAGCCAGGACCACGGAGCATCCCTGAGCGTCTTTGTAGCAGGTTTTCAGGACCTCAGTCCAAGCGTTTTGTGCTGTTGGTCAGGCTTTTACCCTCTTTATGAAACCCATAATTTTTTATAGGCCCCGCCTATAAGACTCTACTGTCCGAAGGGCTGTTCCATGTCAAAGCCACCCTCACAAACCAGCCATCCTCGCCTCTGGCTCTCGAAGCTTCAAGTTTCAGGACAAGAGACTGTGGACTTCGGACTTGGGACTTCTAGGATCTTCTAGGCTTCAAACAGGCCAGGCCATGCCATACAAATAACATCATCTATCCTGTGGCAGCCACTGGCGAAGAACCGCCTCCGCGCCTTCCGCTTTCCGCTTGAATCAGTTCATGGGAGGAGGAAGCACTTGTGCGAGCAAGCAATACAAGGTGCGGATCGGTTTTCAGAAGAGTGGCTTATCGTCTGCTCAACTGCGCCTGGGAGCCTGTCGGCAGGTCAGCGGGACCAAATGGGCAAAGGCTTCTTATCGAAGCTGACCAGGCGCGACTCCAAGGCCAGTGGGGAGCTTTCCAGCTTTCCAGCTTTCGAGTGCGGAAAGGACGCTTGCTCGGCTTCCGCTGACTGCGTGCAAGGAGTCCGTGACTTTGGTTTTGGACGCTGTGGAGGAGGAGCCAGAGCAGACGAAAAACTGACGAGAGACCTTCAGGAAGACCTCCAACTATGACATCTATGGTTGCGTTTTTCTACAGGTTTCTGCTGTGGGAGCCGGCTTACGATGCCGCAGCGGCTTGCTTGAGGTCGGGAAGTCCGAAGGCCGCTTCAGATGAAAGTTGGACTGTGTGTGTTCAGGGGGCGCCCGAGATGAAAAGGGTGATGCCAAAGGGTGAGTTCTCCACATTCCACAGCTTTGCAGCACGTTTGCCGCACAGGACCCCAAACTCAAACGCAGCTCCAGCAAGCGCTTCTCCCTCTCGGACACAGCTTCTCGGCTTCAGAGCAGTGATGCTTTCACATGGCTTTCCGATCTCCGGTTGAGGTCAAGGCAGGCATAAGTTCCATCGCCATGCTGACGAGACAAAACTCCGTGGAAGTGCACCTGAGCTGCAGAGATGCACCAGGTGTCTTAGACCCTTGACCTGCTTTTCACCCTGCCCGGCAGCCACTCGCCTTCTGAGCTTGCCGTGTCAGGCAAGGCATCCTCCCAGGACAGGCCACCGCCGCTGAGATCAGCGAAGAGGAGGATGAGGAGGAGGAGGAGCCCCGAAACGGACAATGTTCGTCGGAAGAAGAGACCGCAACGCGAAAAATTTAGAGGGTCTGGTGAGTCCAGCAGTGCAGGCCTCCCTCCGTCACAGGACCTGGCTCATGGCAGGTGAGAATCCTGAACACCAAACCCCTAAGAGCCCAAGCTCTAAACCCCCAAACCGGCTCTAAACTCCTACACCCAACACCCGTAACACAGCCAACAGCCCAAAGCCAAGATGCCAAGATTTTCCAGGAGGACCTGTTCGAAGAGGCACCTGTCCCGAAAGAGCTGCGGGATTCCTCCGCCCAGGCCTGTGCCAAGGCCCGGGCTCGCACGCGCAAGTAGACAGCTTTGGGCCTGTCTCGACATGCTCTATGGGGGCAAATTCCGTTTTCTGTTTTTGATCGTGTCTTCTAAGGGCTTTTTTTGTTCCTTGCTTTCGCTTTCGCGACGCATGGGGATCCTTAAGGCTCCAGGGAGAGCCCTCAAACGGAAAGGACGTGGCGGTGGCGCACGTGGGCGTCCAGTGCGTTCTCCGCGGCACGGCCCGCACGGTGTTGGGGCGACCAGGGATTTTTGAGGGTTTGCTTTTTAGCCTGGCCTAGCTATCCTTGATAAAGCCCTAGGCTGGCAACTGCGCTCTTTCTTGATTTTTCCCACTATGCTCACGTAGCCACACGAGCATCCGGAGCGTCACAGCATGCTGGAATTCAATGCGACGGCAGACTCGGGAATGATTGAGGAAGTAGCTTTCTTTCGAGAAGACTTGGGAGTAACTGTGTCACTGAGACGTAGCACAAAGCACCAAAGACATGAGGATGGCTGAAGCGGCGCAGGCATGTTAAACCAGAGTTGCTACCCAACCCAAGAGTCTTAAGGGCACTAAGCCCAGTGACGGCCTCTGCCTTACAGCCATGCACTTGTAAGGCAGGGCCCGTCACTGAGCAACTGCTCTTTTTATAAGGCGAGACCTGCGACTTCTCCTCGCTGATGACGGTCTCGCGCTCGCTGCGTGAAGAGCGCGAAGCGCGGAAGAGCGTGCAGAGCCTACAAGGGGCCCTGCAAGGGGCCTGAGTCCGGTTAGAGTCCGGGGTGCTCCACCCGGTTCTAAAGAGATTCCATATATTGGACTTAGCAGTATTGTTTCCTGTGTCAAGGTGGGGGCTCTTTTGGACAAGGTTGGCACTTCGCAGTCGTCCCTTGTGGTACCCGAAATCCAGCAAGAGCAATCGCGTGACACTGTTTGAAACTGTACAGCCGCGCAGCCTGCAACCATGCACAAAAGTGCACTTGGAGGCAAGCTGAGAGAGTCATTCAGATTCTCGTTGCCCATGCAAGTTACTTGCCTGGCATTTGCCACTGTCATTGCCGTCGCCACGGTCATGGCGCTTTTCCCTGCGTCCACGGAAAAAAAGGGGAAGGAACAGTGTGAACAGTGTACAAGGACTGAAGCTTCTTTGGAGCCCAGTTGAAGCTTGAGGTGAGGATACCGGAGCTGCCCAGGCTGCCGGAGAGGGTGCTGCCTCCTGTAGTCCAGGTGCGGGTCATCGCGATCGAGGTTTGAGAATTTTCGGAATTTTGACCTCCTTGCTCGAGGCGCTGCCTTGTTCCCATCCCTCGCGACAGCCGGGCCCCGAGACCCGAACCTTCCAAGGAGATGGACCGAGGCGCAGATGGACAGAGGGGGAGCGCTCGATAGCGGCTCTCGCGCCTTTGCTCGCCGAGGCCCTCTCCGGCTGCGATGCGCATGGCTGCGCAGGCCATGGCTGGAAGCCTTCAGGCGCCAGATCTACTGACAGGCTGTGTAGAAGAGATTGAAAGACTAAGAGGAGAGACGCCGCTGCTCGAAGCCGCCACAGCTACAGCTTGCCTGAAAAGAGACGAATAATGAGATGTCTCTCGCTCGCTCTCTCTTTCTCTTTCTCTCTGCGTCGGCTCCTGGGAGGCGCCCCCAGCGACTGGCCAGCGGAGCGGCACCCCGCGGTCGCCCGGGAGCCCGGAGCGACACGGCGATCTTGGCTTGCGGTGATCAGTTTTTTACTGACTTGGCCCTGACTGCTCGGCACTTGGGCCTCTGAGGCCGATGGCCGCCGACGTCCTCGCGCGGGAGCCCCTCCCTCAAAAACAACACTCCCCAAGCTGAGCCTCCCCCGTGTCGAGGCCTTTCCCTGCAGTCGCCATGTCCCAGCGCGGGATTTCCCTGAATGGCTTGCGTCTCAGCTTCGAGCAGCGTTTCTTGTGTCCTGCTCTCTTGTCGTGTCAGATCGTGTCAGTCAGGCCTGCCGCCCTTTGGCCCCGTCGCCACCGCCACAGCGACCACCGCGACCGCGAGCACCGCGACCGCAACTTCGGCCACGGCGGTGCCTGTGCCGGGCAGGGCCCTGGCCCGGGTCGCACGCAGCTGGAGCGGTCCCGGGCCCGGAGATCCAGGCCCTCTCTCGGTCTCTGTCTGCTGAAACACGGGACATGTCTCCGAGGCTCCTCTGTGACTTCTCTGCCATACCGGGAGCCCAGCGTCTCTCGCATCCCTACCCGGCCCACTGCACAGGCACAGTGCACAAGACTTCCACTTTCCATTCCAACTTGAGGGTTCGGTGCCGCTTGCCCGTGTCGCCAGGTGGTGACTGCAGCCCCCATCACGGTGGCCTCGCGCCAGTCGTCTGGCCTCCCGTGGCATGGCCAAAGTGGAGTGTGGGGGTCCGGGGGAGAGGTGCGTTCTGGGGTTACAGGCTAGGGCGGCCAGGGCGGGGAAGATCTTGCGACGAAAAGACACGGTTCTTCTCAGCTGGGTTCGTGGAAGCTTGCGGGGAAAGCTGCTGAATACAGCACGGAAAAACGTACAAACACAATTCAGAAAGACGGGAGCCAGCCCAACAAAACGGCACTCTTTTCTTGCTCTGCTCACTGAGGTCGGCCATGCCAACATAGGTGAGACGGCCACGATCGTCACCTGCCCTCTAGAGTCCCTGGAGCCCGAAATTCGTTTGCATTGCAGGTCTTAGATCCTATGGGATCGGATCGAATTTGCTAGCTCAGACCTTCGCGATCTCCGGATTCAGGATGCCGTTGTTTTTTTCTAGGCAGCTGGTAAGGTCTGAGCAGCAGCACCAGCAGCGCATGATCCTTGCAAAAAGGGCATTCAAGCACCTGCAACACGCAGCCGTAGAGAGCCCTCCGATCAGTTGGCTCTTGGAATATCTTGGACTCCCTGATTCTGGCTCGAGGACCATCTTCCCCCGAAAAGTTGCAGCCGTGCAGACCACCGCAAAAAGAGAATTGGAGCAATTGAGCACACCCACAGCCCACAGCCCACACAGCCCACACAGCCCACAGCTCTGGTTCCGCTGGCTGCAGCTCGAATGTAGTGGCTCTTCTCGGCCGGCTTGCGGGTGATCGCGGCTGATCGAGAAGACGCCGGGAGCCAAAAAGACGCTCCCAGGATGGCGCAGGCCCCGAGCGAGGCAGCGGAGTCTCCACAGAAGAGGAGGCGGGAAGAGTGCAGAGCGCGACTGCGGAAGCGGAAGTTCAACCCGCTTCGCGCTCGGCGAAGGCCGACCTTTGCTTCCGACTTGGAGGAGCGATCGCCCGAGAAAGGCTCCTTTTTTTAGAAACTGCTTCGGACTGTGAAATCTCGTTATGGCGCGCAGTCTACTGTTCTTCTGTCGCTGTCCAGGCAGTGAAGGCGACGAGGGAGAGAGAGCGGAAGGCCTCGGCCATCCGGGACCTCTTCTTCTCTCACCCCCGGATTTTGTTTTGTTGTCCTTCACTTGCGGCTTCTTTTCTTCTTTCGCTTGCGGCCTCTAAATCGCTGGAAGAGGTCCTGATCGGATCTTCTCGCCTCGCTTGGGCCCGGGACCCGGGGCTTCAATGAGACTGCAGGCGGTTACTGCAGGTCCCGTGGCCCGCAGAACAGGGAGACTGCTGTTTCCAGTGGCTCCGAGCGCTCAGGCATGCCTGCGCCGATGCGCTTCGACATCCGGAGGCCCCGAAACGGGACGCCGCGGGAGCATGCGGGAGCTGCCAGTTTCTTCCTGCCAAGGCTCACCGAGCAGTCTGAGGCCCTTTTCAGATCTCGCGCCCTTGCTGCCCTTTGCTGCGAATCTGGGAGGCTTTGTCGACGGACGACGAGGGTATGCGATTCCATCACTTTCTGGCCGTGAAAGGACCGAATCAAGTGTAGCAGCGAACTCTTCAAGCCTGGGTTAAGAGTCCAAGGGTTTAAAGGCAGATTTAGGGTTCAGGGGTCCAGGGTCCAGCGTCCACCACTTCAGGACCTCCCATCTTCATCGTGCCGGCAACTCAGACCTGAACGATGAGTTCAGCATGTGGCGGAAGATTTGACTCGGCAGGGCAGTGATGCTGCCGGCTTTCATGAGGCGAAGCACTCGGGGCATCGGGCTCGATACCTTACATGTACACTTCTACTTGCACATATCTCCTTGCATGTACACCCATGTATGCATTTTTGTACGGTTTTTGGGCCTATTTTTGCGTCTTTTCTTGTCATCGCAAGAATTTGTGCGTCGTTTGTCTTGTTTTGCTTGGCGTGTTCAGGACCTTTGACCTGGAGCCCCAGGCCCGCTGTGGTTTCATCATGCTTGGGGCCGAAGCCTCAGTCTGGTCTGGAGATGGGTGTGGAGACTCAGGAGAGATGTCTGAGCCAGGTCTTGACCCTGAGCCTCTTCGAGCTGATGCCCTTGTTCTGCGTAGCCCTCTTCATCCCGGTCCTGGGCTTGCTCCTGAGATGCGGGCCCTAAAGGAGCCGCAGAGGTCTCTGAAAATTCGCAGATGCGCCCTGGAGGGAGCATCTGCGCGGTCTTCGGCGAGGCAGCTGGGCAGGGAAGGGCAGGAAAGGGAGGGGATCCTTTTGGGCAGCCGGTCAGGATCGCACGATGCTGACGACGTCCAGACTGCTGCAACTTGGACCGCACTGCGGGGGTTTTGGCCTGCGGCATGCCCCGGCACGCTTCTGCGAGGCTCGGCAGCTTCTTCAACCAGACGCGCGCGGCTTAGCGGCTCAACGTCAGGCTTGGGGTCTGCGTTTGGCATCCGCGAGTTCTGTGCTGAAGACATTCCGAAGCGGAATGTATCAGCTTTCCAAGGCTGAGCAGGCGACTGATCACACGCCTACGGGGCGCAGAGAGTAGATTCTCCTGCATCGAACACAAGTTGGAGGAACCGATTTCCCTTAAGAACCTGGCTATGCCATGCGTGTGGTGACGAATCCCGTGCGCGTAGTGTGAGATGAGTCAGCCTCCACCACTGCAGTCCACTCCTAGGGTTCCGCACCGCAGATCTGCGTTTCCATGCACTCTTTGGGAGACGAGGTCCTTCTTGGTATTGGGCAGTCTGGTCATCAACGCCGTGCCATGGCCTCAGGCCTGCGTCGTCCCTGCAGCAGAAGAGAGAGATAATAATGATAATAATAATGATATTAATCATAATAATAATAGTAGTAATAATAATAATCATAATAATAATAATAATAATAATAATATATATATATATATATATATTTTTTGGAGCAACTTTCAGCCGTGGCCGCGGCCTGGGTTTCCGTCTTGTCCAGTATGCGTCACGTCTCTTGCAAACCAGGCAGGGTCAAAGATCTAACGTGCATCCGAAAAGTTGATTTTCGACAGGAGTGCTGAGTTATAACAGATGGCAACATAGAGAGAGCATTTGATAAGACAGCATGTAGAGTACAGGATAGGTCCAGGACATGATCGTAACGTAGTGCAGCATAGGAGTGCGACAGTAGAGTATAGTGTAATCTAATATGATATCGCATATTGTAGTGCAGTACCATCAAGTACAGTATAGTACAGTAGAGTACAGTAGGGACACGGTATAGCACAGTATGGTACAGCATCTGATGAAACGTAGACAGCACATGTAACAAAATGCAACACAGCATGGTGTACCTACGGAATGTTGTGATCCAAGATCGCACGTTTGGATGTACTGTTCGAAAGCATGGTACACCAAAGTCAGCATAGTTTATTCATAATATAGTACAACATGCGGCAATAAATGATTGTATGATGTAAAATGCAAATCTTAAACTTGTATCATGCAATTTAGGTATACTATGAGCATCAACACAGTATGAACAGAATAGGGCAAAACAACATTGCATGTTGCAGTATGACTTGGGATGAATTTGTTCCGTGTCGTCTCATTGAAATTATGCAAGACAAGATGAGCCAATTAAAGTATAGGATAGCAAAAAACATGTAGTCCTTCATTGTGCACCGTAGTATAGCAGACATTATCCACGTGTAATGTTGAGCGTAATGTCATTGATGGCCGTTACACATGCACTATAGCAATCAAGCATATCGTAGTACAGGCTAATGTGACATGATGCAATGTAGTAGAAAATTATAGCATGATCTAGTCTAGTCCAGTCAGGTCTAGCCCAGTATAGTGCAGTATCGTACAGCATGGTACGGTGCTATGGGATATGATGTAGGAAAATACTATAGTGTGCTACAAAACAAGTGTAGGTTGTGTATGGGTGTACGTAAGTAAGCATGTCTGTATGTATGTGAGACGCAGGTATGTGTGCATGGATGCATGGATGCATGGATGTATGCATGTACGTATGTATGCACAGAGAGTAAGAGTATGTGTGTATGTGTACAATTTGGACAGAAAGCTGAGGTTCGAGAAGTGCGGCCTCCTAGACGTGCTGACCTCTTCTTTGCTCCGGAGGGGGCCTGAGAGAGAAGGAAGGATCCTGCAGGCCAAAGCCCAAACCCACAACCCCAAACTGGGTGTGCTCTAAACTGCTCCCTAGCTCGTGAAATCGTCTAAACCCTAAGCCCTAAACTCTGTAAGCCTCACGCCCCGATGCCCTGCAGCATTGTGAAAATAGGGCACCCTAATATAGCACCAAAAATAGTATCCTTATGATAACCACCCCAAAAATAAGGTACGCCAGGTACCCCGTTATTTTCGATAAAGCGTAAAGCCGAGAACCGGCCCTTGGCCAAGGCGCTGGCGCATGGAGAGCAAGAGCTTCCTCCTGGTCGCGGGCCTGAGACGAGTGGGGGGGTTCTTTGCTTTCTCGTCTCCCCTTTACTCCGTATATATATATATATACTTACTTACTTACTACGATCTACCATGCTAGACTAGACTCTGCTATGCTGTACTGCATGGCTCTACATCAGATCACACTGTTATAATTAGACCTGTCCTGGTGGTTTCTTCAATGCGTAGTTCCCAACAACGTGCGGCAGAAAAGTATCCCACAATCGTCATGCATTTTTTTGATGGTGGTTGCAGGTCCAATTTTTTGATGCTTATCAAGTTGTGTTTTGATGTTTCACCCTTTCACAGAATGGCCGTCCGCCGTGAAGTTTGCCGGCTGCAGCTATGACGATCGAGCTCTCCGGGGAAGAACATTCAGATTGGCCTGTGAAGAGTGGGTCTTGCTTACAGTGGGTGCCATCACCAAGCACTACTCGCAGAACGGCGCATATACGCGTTCCGCAGCACCGTCCCCGCGCTCTCCACAATTGCCGTGCACACCTCCCGTGCACGCCTTCCGCACCCCCCGTTTCTTTGATGCTCGTAGCCAACCAAACATATCCCCAAAAGCAAAGCGAGCCACCGACCCAATGGCCACCCACGTGAAGGGAGACAAGACAAAGGGAGAGAAAGGGAGACAAGGTGCCCGGGAACCCGGCGCTGTCCACCCCACATGAAGGGAGACAAAAAGAACGGCCACCGCATGAAAGGAGACCAGGAGGCGTGATCCTCTTGATTCAGCGCAGCCGCCTGGCTTTCAGACATAAGAAACATCTTGAAGCTCTAGCTCGATATCGGTGCCGTCGAAAAGCGAGGATACATCGAAGTCAGAAATGTCGATCACAAAATGCCGTTTCTCAGCGCATGGGAAGGGGCAAAACATTTACATGTGTATGAATCTTCATGAAAGGTTTGAGATTCCATGGAGTTCGCTGCGTGTCGTAGGCTACCCTAAGCTCAGAGTGCGTCTTCTTAGTAGAAGAACCTCCCTGTGGCACGCAACACGGCCAGCACTCCCACTGAGTCGACCCCTGTGTCTACCTACGACGACGACGACTACTACTTACTACTAACTACTAACTACTAACTACTAACTACTACTACTGCTACTGCT